GAAAAAAGAAAAGGAAAAACACCATCTCTCGCCAGAATCGGAAATAGAGACAACGAGCTCTATAATAAGATAACTGGCCTTGTAATAAGATTACTCTCGGCAAATGCACGATTCTACTGGCTCAAGTCAAGTCATCCTACGTAAGACAGGAAATAATCCTTTAATCGTTCTTTCCTCTTAAAGATTAAGAAAAAAAAAAGAAAAAAAAAAGACAGACAGATGGAGAAGAGAAAAGACAGACAGAGATAGAGATTAATATATATATATATATAGAGAGAGAGAGAGAGAGAGAGGGAGAGAAAGTTTAAAATAAAGGATCAAAAAAAAAGAAAAAAAGAGAAGAAATAACAGAAGAAAAGAAATGAAAAAGGGAAGGAGATATCAAAAGAGTCCGTCCGATTTTTATATCTCTTTTTCCCATGATCATTTTCAAGGTCCCAACTATATCGTGGATAACGATAAAAATCATCGTCTCTCTCACTCGTGAAACTTCAACCGCGTCAAAGTTCTCACCCCGCAGAAGGTTTAATTAGTTTCATAAATGACGATGAGGATTATGATGATGACGAGATAATGACACTGGGGAATATGGAATGATAATGGAGAAGGGATGGGGCCTGTGGGGAGGGGAGGGCGGCTGGAGAAAGGGGGGAGGAGAGAGAAAATCGAAATTCAAGAGAGTCAAGCTTATTCGTCGTCGACTTAGAAAAATAACTGCATTTCGCATGACTCAGCTTTGCTTACGCACGCTTCTCTATTAACGTTTCCTCGTAGACGTAATAATTGATGAGTTTGTGATGAGTGTAGAGTGAGAGAATTGTAGATAATATTATCTACAATTCGAGGTCATATGACCTCGTAAACGAAAAATACAAATTGACAGAGATGGGAAAAAGGGGTTGGGGAAGGGGGGCGAAAAATTACGTGGAAAAATAATCTCAAGATTTTTAGTCTAACAAAGACAAAGGAAGACATCCTCCCCCTCCTCACCCCTCCCCACCACCTTTTTTTTCTCCATCGCCTAAATCGAAAATAATGTAATAATCTTTCTTCTTCGAGTTTCCTAATTTATTACCTTTTATTTTGTTCTTTTTATTCATCCATTTATTTACTTATTTCTTTTATTTTATTTCTTCTTGTTGTCATTTGTCACATCTTCCACTTTTTCCATTCAATGAGTTTTCATGGCGCTTAATTATTATCTCTTCTTTTTCTTTTTGTTCTATTGTTTTCTATTGTTTTGTTCGCTTCGATAATCAATTATATACAAACGATTGTAAAAGATAAATAAAAGTTTGACTCGACTTGATAAAATAAGAAAACGTTCTTTCTTATTTACAATAGATATGTATTTATGAGATGGTCGAGAGTAGAGATGGACGGATGGATGGATGGATGGATGGATGGATAAATGGATAAATGAATGGATGAGAGGGAAGGTGGGAAGGATAGGGGAAATACTTCTTGGCCGGTGTGATTATTAGAAATTAGATGACTTAGGTTCTTACGCGAGCGTTCCCTCTTTTTCGTAAGAAACCTCGTCGAAGAAAGATATATTGTCTGATCTTGCGAAATAGAGATCGACTATTTCTTAGCTTTTATCTAGTCTATGTGTGTATGTGTGTGTGTGTGTGTGTGTATATATACATTTACGTGTGTGTATTATATACGTATATAATTCAAGATGATCTATGTAAAATTTCACGAACTATTTCGATCAAAATCAATTGGAATATTTTTCTTTCTCATTTTGTTTTCCTTTTTTTATTCTTTTATATATTTATATATTTTTTATTAAATTATATATATATATATATATATATATATATATATTAATAAATATAAAGTCATTAATTTCTTGTTTCATGCGTACAAATTGGTACCACTAACTTCAATACAGATATAGTATGTAACATTTTATAGTTAATTGATCATCCAATATACACACACATAAACACATACACACACATATATATATGTATGTATGGACGTGTATAATATATTTCTATTCGTAGAGACATTAATTGGACAAGAAGAGTCGTTACACTGTAAACAGTAATTTATGTAAATAGAGAAATAATAAGTAGAAGAAAGAAAGATAAGCGATCACACACACACACACACTACTATCAACTTTCTTTTAAAATTTTTGTTTTCTTCTTTTTCTTTTTTTTTTTTCCCCTTCTGTTTTGTTCACAAGACGTATATAGTAAAAAGAAATATGTGTGTAGTAGTAACAAAAAAAAACACACACACATACAAATATACATAGTAAACATACAAACACACACACACATACAAACACGTGGAAAGATCTTATATTTTTACGATCGTTACATTTCTATTACATTACACACACACACACACTCACACACACATATATATTATTCTCGCAAATTTACGTTAGACGTCGTGTGTAACGAGCGCTTCTTTCGTTTCGTCGCACTTACGTTAGTCACATAGACGACATGAAACCTACGAGCCAACGATATACGACCGACTTCTTTTATCTGTTTTTTTTTTTCTCTTTTTTTTTTCTCTCTCTCTAATACCCGTTCTCTCCACCGGCTGTCGTATGTATCTTACTTATGTACATGAATATATAGTAGACGAATAGAATCCGGTGAGAGGAAGAGGAGGAAATAGTAGTAGTAGTAGTAGTAGTAGTAGTAGTAGTTGTAGTCGTAGTAGTAGTAGTAGTTGTAGAAGAAGAAGAGGATAGAAAGGTTAGCACGAAACTCTGCTGTCATTGCGTCTGGCATGAGGATAATTAAACATTGATTTTCTATGAGCTTTCTTCCTTTTACATCCCTTCCCCAATCCTCCCACCTCTCACCACCCATTCCTCCCCGTTTACTCTTTCTTTCTTTATTTCTTTACTTCCTTCATTACTTTCTGTCTCGACATTCTTTTTATTTAGATTTTTCTCTCTCTCACTCTCTCTCTCTCTCTCTCTCTCTCTCTCTCTGTGCGTGTGTGTGTCTCTCTGTCTATCTCTGTCTCTCTCGCGATAAAGTACTTTGCTTTTCGATTAAATCGAACTATTTGTCATTTCGTTCTTTCGATTTGTTGTTAATCACAAAAAAAAAAAAAAAAAAATGACGGAAATAATTCAGACAATTCTATCGAAAAAAAAATTTTCTCTCTTCTTGTTCGACATGTAATAAGAAAGAGAAAAGGATACATGTCTAAAAAATATTTCTATCTTAGAAAAAAATACTTTTATAGATTGATATATTTATTCCTATAATTTGAACAAATAGATGTGTATATAATCAAAAAAAAAACATATATATGTATATATCAAAATGTATTCTTTTTCTTTTTTTTTTTCTTTTTTCCTTTTTCTTTTTTTATACATCGATCCATCCATCCATTCATCTTTATCTATGTGCAAAAAAGAAAATAGATGGAGGTCTGTCTAAAAATAAACAAATGAAACGAAATAAAAAAATAAAATAAAAAATAATTATATATATATATATATATATATATATATATATATTTATATAGATTAATATATCTGTATTACAAAATAATCGCGATGATACGAGCATGTCATATTTTTTTTTTTTTTAATTACAACGAAACAATTAAAAAGAAAAGAAAAAATCGAATATTTCCTTAGGCCAAACGACAAATCGCGTTTCGATCTATCCATCTGATAATTCGATTATAAGTATCGTCATCATAAAAAAAAAAAAAAAAAAAAAAAAGAAAAGAAAGAGAAGAAAAAAAAAACGAAAATGATTTATCGATATCAATAGCCAAGAGTCATCGTACTCTCGTTCGAATCTATGTTACGCCGTAGTTTTATTTATAAGATACAATATATCTCGATGATCGATCGAAATCGACCGATCGACATTTAAATTTCCACATGATATATATATATATACACTTTTGTAAAACTGAGAATGAACTCAACGATAGCATAACGCGCGTGTGGCCTTTGTTTGACTTTCACCGTTTCGAGGCGCTCGCCTCGATCGATTTTTTTCGATCCTGACTCTGCTAAAGTCGAGAAATGTCACGGCTGTGCAAATCTTGACCGAGCTGCTATCTTTCTCTTTCTCTTTCTCTTTCTCTCTCTCTCTCTCTCTCTCTCTCTCTCTCTCTCTCTCTCTTTCAATCTTATTTACCATTACTTTTTCTATCTCTATTTCCTCTCCGACAATTTTAAAACATTTCCAAGAGGAGGCCTCGTCATTTGAACTATCATCATCACTTGATATTAATGATCTATATATATCATTTTACATTATTATATACATTTATATATATATGTATATGATATATGTAAACAAAGATAATATATTAGTATATTAATAAATCTATTTATTTATTTATATCCAAGTATTTCTTTTTCTTTCTTTCTTTTTTTTTCAGATCGATCTATCTAGCCATTCATCCATCTATCTATCTATCTATCTATTTATCTATCTATCTATCTATTTATCTATCTTTTTATTTCGCTAATACATATATATTTGTGTATTATATACTCATAATTATTATAATAATATCATACATTAATTTATCTTAATAATTTGATATATTGTTTGTCGTGCGAGAAAAAAAAAACAAAAGGAAAAGAAAAGAAATTAAACGAATTCTTGTCGATAGGAAAAATTTTCGAAAGTTTTCTCAATGACTAATTAACGATAATTAAATGTATCACGAAGATAATTGGAAAGTAATCGTCATAATTAATGGAATAATATTAATTATTATTATTATTATTATTACAGATTCATTTATTTTATTAATATTGTTCATTAATTATTATTAGTTCTATGAATTAATCATGTAACGATCTATTGAAAAATTTTCATTAAGCATTAATATTTATATATATATATATATATATATATGTATTATACAATGATTAACGATAATCAGTTAATTAACTTATTAATAAGACAAATGATACTTTTGAAAATATCAATGATTTTAATTTCCCTCTCTTTTTTTTTTTTTTGTCTAATTCGTTCTAACAGATAAATAAATATTCAAACAACGAAGACAATTTGGAAAGGAATGATCATGATACGAATAGACGAGGACGAAGAAAGGAACGGCTACAATGAGATAAGATCGATGATGATGATTCGTGACGGAAGTTCGAAGCACGACGTCGATTCATTGACTTCCGATTCATTTGAAAGTCTCTCCGTGAAGGATTGCATTTATCGAGGGGAAGGAAATGCTAACATCGTTGTCACTCTAATGCATGTAAGTAGATATTATATAAATTTCTTCTTCTTTAATTTAATTTAATTTAATTTACTTTAATTTAATTTACTTTAATTTAATTTAATTTAATTTAATTTAATTTAATTTAATTTAATTTAATTTAATTCCTTTTTAAAATTTGTCACGAGGTGAGATTTCAAAAAGAAAAGATAAGTAAAAAAGAAAACAAAAAAAAAAACAATGAGAAAAAAAATAAAAACTAGAAAAAAGAAAATGAAATTTCTTGACATTATGAAAGATATCAGATCAGATGTTTACATTTATTATAGACATGCATAATGAGTGGAATTACGTGAAATTACTACGGCGAATTTGTATTCGTGCATAATAATAAACAAATTAAACCAATCAAAAAGTGTCAATCAAACAACTATGACATCTGTATTGTTGTTACGAACGTAAGAAAAAAATGATACAAGTATATATATGATACTTTGTGATATCTAACGTAAGTGTACGTACGTATGAATCGTTTGAAAAATTCATTGCCTGCCTTTTTTCTTTTCTTTTTTTCTTTTTCTTTTTTTCTTTTTTTTTTTTTTTTTTTTTTTTTTTTTGATTCATTTTCTTTCCTTTTTAATGCAGATAAACATTTACTCACGCGAAACGCACGCTTTCGTTCTTAAAGTATCTAAAAGAAAAATAAAATTAAGAAAAAGAAGAAAAAAAAAAAAAGAAAAAAAAGAAAAAAAGAAACGAAAAATATGCGAAGAATATTAAAGTTTTTCTTTTTGCACGATTTATAACGAACTATTTTTTTTTTTTTATAAATTCATTCTAAACACAATTATTTCCATGGTCATATGTGATTAAAGTCATATCTCTCGTTAAAGCCACTTCGTCGCTGCGCTAAATGCTATATCACATATGTCATAGAGAATATTTACATTGATAAAGAAAGAGAGAAAAGAAAGAAAAAGACAGAAGAAAAAAAAGAAAAAAAAAAAAAATAAAGAAAAAAACAACAACAAGAAACAAAATATAAGAATTTGAAGAAAAATTCGAATGTTTCGAAATTCTTTCTCTTATTTGTATTGGTTTTTTTCTCTTCTTTCTTTTTTCTTGTTTTTACGATAAAAAAAAAAAAAAAAAAAAGAAAAAAAAAGAAAAAAGAAAATCTATCATCCTCGCGAGTATATAACAAACTCGCGAAAATTTTCCAAACACTCGAAGCTAACTCGAAGTGCTTATCGTGAATACAGATAAGGAGAATACGCGCGCGCGCGCATGCTCGAGAAAGAGTGAGAGAGAGTAAGAGAGGGAGAGAGAGAGAGAGAGAGAAATATTTCGTGAGTGAATCGCCATTGTCATACCGGACAAGAATCCACTCTCGAAACGAAACGATATCTCGAGTACCTCAGGTTGGTTCTAAGGATGAAAACACGACTCATAAATTAACGATGAAGTGGAAAAAGAGAAAAAGAAAGAAAGAGAAAAAGAGAGAGAGACTCTAACGACGTCGTAAATGGGCGGAGAACTTGTAATAGGATAGAGACTCGACAAAGCGACCGCAGAAAAGCGAGAAAAATGAAGTGGAAGCTACCGAGCTTAGTCGATACTTTGTCCCTTATTAAAAAAAAAAAAAAAAAGAAAGAAAGAAAGAAATAAAAAAAAATATATATATATATATATATATATATATATTATTGTAAAAAAAGAAAAGAATTAATTATTAAGACAAATAAAGAGTACCTTTTTTTTTTTTTTTTATAAGGAATCAAAGAAGTTCCTACATAATTTCATTATTCTCGATGTGAATAACGATGGTTTTTCATTGTAGAAAAAAAAAAAAAAGAAAAAAAAAAAAGAAAAAAAAAAGAAAAGAAAATTTATTTATCATTATTAAAATGCATTTATCATAATAATTCATTGCTATACGTATTTATTAAATTTTTTAGAATAAATTTTATATCATAAAAAATTTATTGTAATAATTTAATACAAAATGAATAATTATGTATGTGTATATACATACATACATACATACATACATACATACATACATACATACATATATATATAAACTCTTTCAAATAATAACTTTTTCCTTTCGGTATAGAAATATCGATTGATACGGTAATTATAACAAAACGTACGGAATGGTCGGGAACTTAAAAAAAAAAAAAAAAAAAAAGAAAAAAAGAAAAAAGAGAAGAAAAAAGAAAAAGGGACAAAAAATTCTAACTGAATAGTCGCGTGCCGATATTGTCTCGTAGATTGGAAAGCAATTTACTGTTGGACGTTTTAATAATAATAAAAAAAAGGAAAAGAGGATAGAACAAAAATAAAAAAAGAAAAAAAAAGAAAAGAGAGAGATAGAGAGAGATAGAGAGAGAGAGAGAGAGAGAGAGAGAGAGCAAGAACATATAAAACGAAGATAAAAATAAAAAAAGGAGAAAGAAAAGATGAAAAAAAGAAAAAAGAAAAAAAATAATAATAATAAAAAAAAAGAAAAATAGAGGAGATAGGCGTCACGTCCAAAAACAATGTACAAATGTTTTTTTCCATGAATTAAAGAAGTCATAGTGTGTATACGAGTAATAGGACCATCCTCGTCTCTCGCATAAATGAACTAACTTCTTTTATACTCGACAATAATGGATAACGTGACCTTCGATCTCTCCGTTGGACACTCCTTTCGACCCGATAGATGATGATCAACGTAAAACCGCGAGACTACTCCACGACTTACATACAAAAGAAGACACACATGGACACGCACGCACATATATACAAATATTTATGTACTCACGTGTATTACATAAAGTACACATAGTAACGTCGTAGTATGAGTTTTCGCGTATAAAAAGAAAGAAAAAAAAAAAAAAAAAAAAAAAAAAGAAAAAAGAAATCATACGTTCTCGCTTGTCGAGATATATGAATCTTAAGAAATCTTTTGATTGATTTTTCACCTTGGCATTCTATTCCGTTTCTTTTTGCTTTCGTTTTACTGTTGTTTTTTTTTTTTTTTTTTTTTTTTTACTTTACTTTACTTTACTTCACTTTATTCATCTCGTACGTCGATTTATTCGTGCAATTCATTGAAGGTGTAACGAATGTTTTATGTATACTGGGGATGTGTATGTTTCGCAAATGAAAAAAAAAAAAAAAAAAGAAAAAAAATACATTCAGCTTATGTCTCTCGTATTTTCGAATTGAGATCATACGATTTTTTTTTGATTTTCTTTATTTCTTTCTTTTTTTTTTTGTTTTGTTTTGTTTTTTTTTCTTTTCAATTATCGAAATATCGAACGTAAAAATCTTTCGATTGAGTTTCGCTTCCTTTTTTTTTTTTCTTTTTTTTTTTTTATAATTCGTTTTTCCTTTCTTTCTTTCTTTCTTCCTTCTATTCTCTCTTTTTCGATTTATTTCATATAAATCAATTTAATTAATTGCATTCAATTGGAGAATAATTCGTCATCGTGTCTGAAAAAGAAAAAAAAAAGAAAAAAAAAATAAAAAGAAAAAAATAAAAAATAAAAAAAAAACGCAATATTTATATTTAAGTACGACGAAATTCTTCATATTTATATATCTTTTTAAATACACTGGCTTACGTATTTCCTTTTCTCTCTTTTTTTTTTTTTTTTTTTTTTTTTTTTTTAAATCGATAAATGATCAAGGTGATAATGTTTAATATGTGTATGTATAATACGTATACGTATTTACAATGAATCCGATATTGCTTATCTTTCGTTCTTTCTTTCTTGAATTTACTGGATGATGAAGAAGGAGAATAAAAAGAAAGAAGAAAAAAGAGGAAGAAGAAGAAAGAGAAGAAGGAGAGGAGGAGGAAAAGAAAAAGAAAAACGATAGATGTTAACAATAAAACGAAATGATCGTACACGATTTTACATATTAATAAATAACAATAGTGAACATCTTGCAATTTATCTATTTTAGAAAAATGATACGCATGATTATACATCCATATATATATATATATATATATATATATATATATATATATATATATACACTGTTATATACATAAGTATAAATACGTATAAATCTTAATCTTGAATAAAAATAGATGATAATAATAATAATTCAAAAAATAAACAGTAATAAAAAAACAAAATAAAAAATAAAAATAGAAGAAAATAAAATATATTTGAAAAAAAAAACGGGGAATAGTATATGCAAAGTTGCATTCGATTTTCTCGTTATTACATCAACATGATAATTCAATCAGGAAAAAACGAAATTATTAGAAATATATATATATATATATATATATATATATATATATATATATATATACACATATATATAAGTACTTATATGTATATGTATGTGTGTTTGAGTTCGTTGATTTTTTTCCTTGTTTAAATAAGCGATAGTCGTTCATATACGATCTATGATGAACATCATAGTTGACATTATTTTCTAGGAAATTAATTTTTTCATATTACATTTTGCCGACGATAGTGCAATACCGGATAGATTGATTCGTATGTATATGTGTGCGTGTGTATATACATATATATATATATGTGTGTGTGTGTTTTAATGTAATACTCGTGGTAATATCGATATTGACCGAAGTGTGTTGACGCATTACAGATTTTATCGGAAAGATCGATGATAATAATTGCACGGCTCTGCATTTTCTACGAGCTACGTCGATAATATTTATATGTGTATAACTGTTCTGTATTTTTATAAATGTATGCGTGTGTGTGTGTGTGTGTGTGTAATTGCGTTTTATGAGACACTATGTATGAGAATAATGATTGTAATCGACAATGAGACCATCGACCTTCTGAAAAATGATCTATGTCTATGTGATCTATATCTCCTTTAATATATTCACATTTATAAATTTTTAATAATCGTTTATATGTATTTATGTATGTATGTATGTATGTAATGACTTTTATAAAATATTTTGCAAAGTATAAATTAATGGTTATGGTCTTCTATAATTTTCCTTTCTTTTTTTTTCTTTTTTACTGTTTTTTTTAATCCCCTAACGA